ACCAGAAAAAGGGGGCCGACGTGTTGGCCAAGTCGCTCGACAAACTCGGCTTCAGCGCCTGCACTCTGCACGGGGGTAAGGGTCAGGAGCAGAGGGAGTACGCGTTGGCCAGTCTTAAGACGGGTGTAAAGGATATACTGGTGGCCACCGATGTGGCCGGACGTGGTATTGACATTAAGAACGTGTCGATCGTTATTAACTACGATATGGCCAAGAGTATCGAGGATTACACCCATAGGATCGGTAGGACTGGTAGGGCCGGTAAGACCGGACAGGCCGTCAGTTTCCTCACCAAAGACGACTCGCATTTGTTTTACGATTTGAAGCTATTGTTGACGCAGTCGCCTGTGTCTACCTGTCCGCCCGAGTTGGCCAACCATCCCGAGGCTCAGCATAAGCCGGGAACTGTAGTTCAGAAGAAGCGCAAGGATGAGACCATTTTTGTGTGATTTTTTGGGCTGTTTTTCCCGTTTTTGGCATTCATTTCATTATATCGTTTTGTTTTCGCACTTAATTTGTATATAATTTTCGACTTTTTGACGAATAAATGATTGATTTTTGTGAACACTTTGTGTCCAATTAGACAATGAATAGAGAAATGTTTGTTTGTTTCACACTTTTGATAGATTTTTATTACAAATAATTTTTGTGTTGTTTTAGTCGTTAGTCAAACTCATGACAGCGGTATCCAAATCCCAGTGATTACAGGACAGGGCTGTCAGTGGTGTCTAACGAGTGGCTCTCGTCTTCTTCATAAACTTCTCGATCAGTTCCTCGAAGTCTTTGAATTCATTTGTGTCGACATTCTTGCGATTCTCGTCATCGCATAAAAATATGTCCAATACTTAGTCGTCTTGTCATACAATTGGCGATTATTTACGTACTGATTGGTCAGCACCTGATCCTTAGGGTGGGTTGGGTCGGGAGTGGCCAGGAATGCCTGAAACGACATGAGCACAGTCTGTTATACTGTCACCCCGTATTCTGGTGTAAATGAAAATTTCCAAAAACTTATAGACATGAATAGTGGTTGTTTACCGAATCTTATATAACTTGGGAATTTGGTCATCCTGGCAATTTAAATGTCATTTGTTAGCATCTTCTGACGGTCCCAAAAATCATTTAATATCATTTTAAAACTACCTAGTTAAACTGGTATCACCCCGTATTCTGGTGTAAATTAAAATTTCCAGGTGATAAAAAGGTGATAAAAATCCAAAGGTATTGTAGACATTGAAAATCTACCACTATGAGTTTACATAGGGTTAAATTCTAACCTGACTGGTGTATGATTCCAGTTTAGCGAGTTATTTGATAAATGATTTTTCAAACCGTCAGATATCGCATACGTGTGACATTCGATTGCCCAAGGTGGTAAAAATTCGAAGGTATTGTAGCATAAGATTGCTTTAAAAGTAATTGGACTAAGCTAGGGGTTTATCCCACCGGTTAACCTGTCATTTTTGATGCAATAAGTGATGAAGACACAAATCATTTAACTATATCCTTGCTTATCTCGAATCATGGGTTTCGTTACTGACCCCCTATTCAAACCTCCATACTCGTACACATTTAGATTAATGTAGTTTTAAAATACCAAGTATACCGAGGTAATATTTATGCATATAATCATCGATTTAATACCTGTAAGCATTTTCATTTTATTATAGTAAATAAACACTTGTAGTTTTATTATGTTATTACGTTCATACTATTTTACAATACATATGATTTAATTATAAAAGTTTTTATAGACTATGATAACAAATGATAATCAATGTATGGAAAACAAAATATAACTAATTCTTAGATAGTTTTTATTATGTGTTTTATTGTATTGAAAAATATTCACTAATATAAAAATGATTTATTAATTAGCAAAACAATTTAACCAATTACTATTAATATAAGCATATATTAATATTTAAATAATTATCACAAACGTGTGCCCCATATAAGTGTTACTCAACCAAATATTCATAGAATTGAATGTGAGTTCATAGATATTAGAGGTGCAGAATTGGTAACAATCACCCTGGTCATAATGTCCATCAAGTTGGCGAACAAGTTCCTGAACAACACTAACTATAACAACGCAATTCTGGAGCGGATTCGTGACAAAGAAGTGTTTGAAATGTTTCCGACCATTAAAAACAGACGGATATCCAGTATATTCAAGATCAGAGAGAAAAGGATCTCCAGGTTTGCCGATAACTTCATAACCGCTTTAAGTATCTATTTTTGTACCTTTATTCTCGTGAGTATACACCGATCAATATGAGCTTGGTCATCACAATTAGTTATTACTGTACTTAAATGGGTGTAGGGTTTAGTCACATCAATCAACCCAATGACTGAGCGAGATATTCAGGAAGTGATGAACATCAGGATCATTAACATGGCTATGATCTCGGTCATTTATAACATATCATACACTCTGGGGCCCATATTAGGCCTGGTATTACTGAATCGCTTGGGCCGATACGTCTGTCCAATGGTTTTGCTATTAGTTATGGCTTTTGTTGACGTATTTTACTCTTATATCACAATAAACTGGATATTAATGTCGTTGTATGTCATCAAAGGCTTATCTGCCGGTTCTTTATATACGGCGCTAATTGTGTGGGTAGTTAGCAATTGGAGAGATAATAATAGTGCCCCGTACATCCAGGCACTTTACTTTTGTGTATCAATTGCTAATTTTTTAAAACCTTTAATTAACATGAATTACATTTTTGTGAATAAAACTATTGAATGTATGGCTAATAATCAAAGTCTGTATCCAATAGACAACTATTGGTTGAATAATAATCAAACATTTGATAGCAATTCAAACGATACAAGTTTTATGAATGCCTTAAATAAGGATCTATTGGGGACTGACAGGTAAGGGATGTTAAACATGAATATTATACACTTTATTATTCACATCCCTATCGATAGGATTTGTGTCAAAGACCTGTCGCCAAGACTACCGGCCATTTGTGAGGCATTTCTGGCCGTTTGCGGGTCGGCCCTCGTCTTCATCCGGTATTCAATGAATTCAACGCAAAGCCAAACCATCCGAAGAAAGTACGGATTGGTTCGCAAGAATCGCATCTTCAGTAACACGAGTGTCACATCAAGTGTCGGATCAATCAAGTCGTGGCAGCGATTGTTTTATATCATCACCGGATCAGTACTCATGACATCTTATATTGTCATTGAATTCGCAAACTTAAGACTTTCGGGGATTTATTCACAGAATTTCGGTGAGAATACAGAGTTTGTGATGTTTTTTGATATTTACTTATTATTTGTTAACTTATTTGTAGAAAAATATACGGTTTATGCGATTATCTCAATGTATGGTTCACTGACATTGTTCAGATTTGTGGCTATATTTGTATCATTGAAAGTAAAACCACAAATCCTACTAATAGCAAGTTGCCTGATCATAATCTGTGCTAATATTACACTCGTATTGTTTGCAAAGTTTTCGTTTGTGATTATAATTATTGTAAGAATATTTGATATTTATACTAAAATTAAAATACTATTTTAATTTTGGTAATTAAAGGCTAATATAGTAATGGGCATGGGATTGGCATCAGCACCTGGATCAATATTGTCATTACTGGAGCGGTACCTACACATCAACAACAATATTGTCTCCACTTTACTATTCTTCAGTTCATTGATGTCAGCAATTAATTCACAGATAATCGACAGATTTATCAGTGAAAACAATTCACTATTTTTCATATGCCTTAACATTGTAGCCGTAATTGTGTCCATAATTATGTTTATTTTGATAATAGGGTCGAAACGATACTTAAATACCGGGAGTTTTACCTTAAAGGGTGTGAGAAATGCCACGAAAGTAAAGTTTTCGACCGATTATACGGACTCTGATTTAAATAATGATTATAATTATAATACTGTTAGTAGTTATCATTTGAAATATAGGGACACGTCTATTGTCAGTATTAATTAATATAGACTTGGTGATTGCTAGATATTAAAATACTATAGCTATCGGTTTAAGTCAAGAAATGTTTAATTAATTTTACGCTAAATGAGTGCAATATTTAAAAATAAAATATTTAGAGTTCATAGTATAAATTGGGTGCAACTTAGATATTGTATAAACTTTATACTATAAAGATAATTTTCAATATTTATTGTAAACTTATTTGAATCTTTAAATAACTGTATTATGCTTTCTAAATAGTATTATGAATTTGTATTTGTATTTTTTTATAATACCAATAATTATTATAGTAATACTAATACAGAATTTCATACTTTTATGATATGCTACGCTAAAAATACCGGTAGTAAATTAGCATTATGGGTAAATCTGTTTAATCAACCCTTAACCAAAACATTAAGTAGCGTTACGGCGACCTTGTCACTTTTAAACACATGTTTTACATATCAAATATCATACGAGTGCACATTACCCTTATTGTAAACAAAACAGATATTATAAGTGATTAAAAATTTATGAAAAAATAGTTTATAAATAGAGGTTTAATTTGAATAGAATTTATAATAAATTCTCTCTAATAATAATTAGCAATATACTAAATTCCTAAGTGGGGGCTAAAATGGTTTATGGTGCAAGGTTGTTTTCGTCGAGAACTTATACACTGTTGAGACAACTATCTCGACACAAATACAGCTATACGTACACTAAATCGGATGAACCCCTCATTCCGCTGACAATCGGACAGTTGTTGGAGAAGCGGGCCGTCGACTCGGCCGACACTATGGCCTGTCTTTCGATGCATCAGAATATCAGCAAAACTTACCGCCAATTGAATGAAGACGTGAGAAGATGTTAACAATATTTTGAAATTTTCTATAAATAGTAGTATTTGTTTTGAATACCTGTCCCATAGGTTAACAAATTGGCGAAAGGCCTGAAGAGTATTGGCTGCGGGAAAGGCACTCGAGTAGGCATTTGGTCACCAAATTGCTACGAATGGGTTGTCACACAATATGCCACCGCAAAGATTGGCTCCATAATGGTTAGGGGACAGGGATGTGTAGGTTATGTTAACTAACAATTATACCTTGATAATATTCAGGTGAATGTGAACCCTGGCTATCAAGCACTTGAAATGGATTACTGTCTCAATTTAGTTGGTTGTCATACATTGATATGCAATCAAAAGTTTAAGTCAACCAACAATTGCGAGATATTAGAGACTCTGGAGCCTAATATCCTGAAGAATGCCAATGGATCCAGGGTTAAAAGTAGTGTCAATACTACTAATTATATGTGTATTACAAAGACTGACTGTCCGATGGAAGTCATAATTATCCACACTATTTATCAACTCAACCGGACAGCCAGTCTCTAGCAATATAAGCATTCCTTTGAAGCAAATCTAACCCGTGTTTAGGCACCAAAATCCCAACCCTTGAGAACATAATCGTAATGAACGGCACGGATGGCGAAGAGTTGGCGCCGAAAGGGATGACTAGATTTGACGAGTTTATCGACCGCTTTGACGGCACCGACAGTCGGGACACGTGTTTCGATTTCGACGAGTCGGTGAACATTCAGTTCACTTCGGGAACCACTGGGAAGCCTAAGGGGGCGACGCTCACCCACTTTGGGATCATACAAAACGCCTACTTCTCGGGCAAGAGAGCACTGGAAGGGCTGACGGATAAGATTTTATGCATATCTCCACCACTTTACCACTGTTTCGGATCAGTTGTGGGCGGAATAGTAGCCGCCGTTCATAAGGGGACACTCGTACTACCGGCGCCCGTACACAACGCTACCGAAACCCTAAAGGCTATAGAAAAATACAAGTAATTTATTTGAAAATGTAATTTACCTAGAAAGTAATGTTTCATTTAATATGATCAAGGTGCGATGTGGTTTATGGCACGCCTACTATGTTTATAGACCTGTTAAATGCAAATCCATTGCAATTTAATACGAGTTCATTGAAAAGAGGTTTGTTGGCTGTTCACAAAATGTGCTAGCGTATATTTTTAGTGTTTGTTTTGCTATCATAGGTTTCATGACTGGTAGTCCCTGTCCCCGACATTTGTTGGAAGCGTTTCTGAAATCAGTGCCAACTTGTGAACACATTCTCGTAAGTGATCCAAGAGTTAGAAATTGTAACCAGGCTAACTAATATGGCTTACAATTAAACTACAGATTCCTTACGGCACGACTGAATGCAGTCCTGTTATAACATTCACATCGATTCACGACTCCGAGAAACACCGGTTAGAGTCAGTCGGCCGACCCTTAGAGCACTTGGAGGCGAAAATCGTGAACACGAGCACCGGTCAGATCACACCTATCGGTGAGTCGGGAGAGGTGTGCACTCGTGGACACCATGTGTTCCCCGGCTATTNACACCGGTTAGAGTCAGTCGGCCGACCCTTAGAGCACTTGGAGGCGAAAATCGTGAACACGAGCACCGGTCAGATCACACCTATCGGTGAGTCGGGAGAGGTGTGCACTCGTGGACACCATGTGTTCCCCGGCTATTGGGATGATCAGCAGAAAACTGATGAAGCAGTTGATAGGAACCGGTGGTACCACACGGGGTATGAGTTTCAATGTCCATGTCATCCGAGTTGAAGTAGAAATTTATGTTTTTTGGTGGCATTTGTTTAGTGATATCGGGGTTATGGATGAGTTGGGGTTCATATCAATCAACGGTAGACTTAAGGATATGATTATAAGGGGCGGCGAAAACATATATCCCCGAGAAATAGAGGACTTCCTTATCAAACACGACGATGTGATTGATGTCCAGGTATTTAATAATACCTTTATTTGATATTTGAACTCAAAAACGGAATATAGGTTCAGATGTTATATAAAATGCAAATTAATGTTTAATTCAACACTACTTGCGATGAAAAGGTCGTCGGAATTCCCGATGAGAGGATGGGCGAGGATTTGGTGGCATTTGTTATTAAGAAAGGCGACAGTAGTTTAGATACCGATTCGTTAAGGGGTTTCTGTAAGGGAAAGGTATGCTCACAATTATGTCCAAACTGTTCAAGTTGTGTTAATTATGTGATGAAATTATTTTATGAATCAATAGATAAGTCATTTTAAAATACCGAAAAACATTGAGTTTGTTGCCGACTATCCCCGAACAGTGACCGGAAAGGTAGAGAAATACAAACTCAAACAAATGGCACAAAAACTGTATTCAAAATAACATTTTACACATTAATAGTTGAATTAAGAATTAATTATAACCATGGTACAAAGTTTGTATTGCTAGAAAATTATTTTGAATACCGTAATCTGTTAACCTTTTGAAAAATCATTAATAAAAGTATAGATGATTACTAACATCCATGGGGACAGGCCGTGTCGAACCGGTGGTTGTGGTCGATTTCAGTGATAGGGATGTCACACTCGGGACACTCCCGGCGCTCACGAGTCGATTGTTGCAAACATTGCAAACAGAACTCATGCTTACATTTGTCTGTTTTGGCTCTGTTTGTGGTCTTCTTCTTACAGACAACACATTTGTCTTTCGAGTCCTCACCGGCAGTCGTATTGCCATCAGATGTCTGTCCACTGCCCGGGCTTTCACTGCTCTCCTGTCCGCCGACTGGGCTCTCCTTCTGTGCCTCAGAAGTGGCCGTCTTTTCCGATTGACTCGATTTGGCGGAACTGGTGGTCGCCTCCGGTTCCTTGTCTTTGAGAGAACCGGTAGATCCGGACGGGTCGGGCAGTACTGACTCGAGTGGTGTGGGGCCGGGAGGGAGCGGTGGGGGAAGTGATGACACGCGAAAAAGGATCCTTGACTCGTGACTCTCTTTGTCTGACTGTCCACTCATGTGGTTATCTCGTGAGGTATGGTCTCTCAGGTGACTATGAGCTGTCTCTGTGTTTGTTAAACAAATCATAAAGTTTTTGAAAACTTTTTGCAAACGTTTTCAATTGCTTCACAAATGCAATGCTTTAGACTGACACTGGCGTACAATATACGCAAACATGTTGTAGACAACGGTCATAGTAATCGCATACTAATTGACTGCAAACACTATTGCAATGTTTACACACAAACCCACACTTATAACACATTTTACTGTCAAATCACTCATCGCTCCAGAAGTGACCGCGAGATCCGCTCAATCGGTGACCATATCTCTCGCCACACGCCGTCATACTCCGCGACAGTGTCTACGCACGCGATGCGGACACACAATACGATGGATCAACTGATATGCGATGGTAAGCCGTGTCTGAACCGCTATTGACACACACTATACAATGTCTGACCATTGGATCAGATCTGAAGGCGTTCGAGAGGCGACTCATGGAGATCGTGTCGACCGAGAGGCCGGCCACCCGGCGCTGGCGTGTCATCCTATGCGTGTCCTCACTGTTGACCTCAGCCTCGGCTTTCTATTGGCTCAACGACCCGAAGACGGCGCGCGTATCACTCGTCGACTCATTGGTCACTCACTACTTGTTTACCATTAATTGTCTCATTCTGTTGGCGCTCTTCGCGATGGGTATCCACAAGCGAGTGGTCGCCACCTCTATGTAAGTGCGGGAACACCGGTTCCCATGCGGTGGTGACACCGGTTCCCACGCCTATGTGTCGGTGTTATCACCGCCAGAGACCCAATGAATGGTGTGTTTTGACGGTTGTGTCCATTGATAGCATAATATCGCGCACACGACAAGTGTTGGCCGACTTTGCCATGAGTTGCGACGACAACGGAAGGCTGATCCTTAAGCCCCGGCAACCCGTCAAGAGTGGTATCGAGCACTTGAAGATTTGATCCGT